CCCCCCCCGATGCCCGTTTAAGGAACCTCCAACCCCCCTTTTTTTACCCTCTTTGGAATCTAATCCTCCCTAAAATTAGCCCCCGGGGCCGGTTCCCGGGCGGTGCCGGGGATCAATTTTCCCAAAACCTGCCAAAATCTCCCCAAGGACAAAGGCCCCAAAAGCGTTTTTTACAGAAAATCAACCCGGGGATTTGGTAAATCCTTTTGATTTGATTGATTTTGGGGAAAAAAAAGGGGGATTTGAGGAGGTTTCGGTTCCTGGGGCTCGGCCAAGGGGAGAGAAACGGGATCCGGGGGGGGGAGGGGAAAGAGGAACAAAATGGGTTTATGGGATAAAATATGAAAATGTAATAATATAGCGATATAAATAATGATTAATAGGCTAGCATTCTTTTTCTCCTTTTTCTTCCTTTTATTTTTCTTCTTTTTCTTTTTCTTTTTCTTTTTCTTTTTCTTTTTCTTTTTCTTTTTCTTTTTCTTTTTCTTTTTCTTTTTCTTTTTCTTTTCCTTTTTCTTTTCCTTTTTTTTCTTTTTCTTCCTTCCTTTTCCTTTTCCTTTTCCTTTTCCTTTTCCTTTTCCTTTTCCTTTTCCTTTTCCTCCTTTTTGCTCCTTTTACTTCTTATTTTCTTTATATTTTAATATTTTTTTAAAAAATTTATTTTCCTTTTTCTCTTTTTTCTTTTTTTGTTTTCCCTTAGACCGGAAAAAATCTCAAAAAAAAAAAAAAAGGGGGGGAAAAAAACCTCTTTGGGGATTTTTTTCCTTATTGCATTCGCTCACATGGGCAAAAATATTCCAGGCATTGGGTTTTTTCCCCAGAAATACAGTTTTTAAGGGCTGACTTTCCCTAAATTTGATTATTTTAATGCTCTTCCCTCTCGTCCCACCAGGTCGAGGACCCTCTTGGAGGCGGCTCCGTTCGGGGGAATCCGTCGGGAATGGAGCCGGGTACGGGAAAATCCACTGCTTTTTATTATCATCATGATTATTATTATTTATGTTTATCATTATTATTTCTATTTATTTTTATTAATATTTTTTTCCCTTTATTTTTTCTTTGGCAGGGAAAAGGAACGCGGATCTCGGTGAGTGAATTTTTTTTGGCCTTTTTGCCTCAAAATAAACCTCATTAATTCCCATTTCCCGGGGCCTTTCTTGCCTTATTTAAAAACATCCATTTTCCACCCCACGAACTCCTAAAAAGTGCCATTTTGGGGAAAATTATGGCCAAAAAAGGGGTAAAACCCCCACATTTTTTAAGACAAATTCTCAAGTTCAAAGCCCAAAAAGGACTCATTTTGGGGCTAAATTTTCATCTCTTTATTTTGAATTTATTTTTTAATTTAGAAATTTAAAAAATCAATTTTTTTAAAAAAAAAACTTGTTCACCTCTTTTTTTTTTAGAAGAATGGGACGCAAAAATCCGTAAGTGGTGATTTTTTTCCCCTCCTTCCCCCCCCCCGATGGTAAAAATTTGGGGCTAAAACCTGGAATTTTATCTAAAGGGAAGTTGACGGAAGAATTCGGTGAGTTTTTTTACGCCCCCGATTCTGCGGCTCCGGCACCAGCAACGTGTCAAAAATATATATAAATATAAATTTTCATTTATTTTTATTTAATTTAGAGGAAAGTGACACAGACCTGGGTAAGTGAGAATTTTGGGGTGATTTGGGGGTTTTTTGGGTGCTGTGGGGGATGGGAAAGGTCCTTTGGGAGGGGGCGGGGGGTGGAGGGACAGACCCCCCCCAGTTTAATTTTTAGTTTAATATCATTTTTAATTTAATTTGTTTATTTTTCAATTCAATTTAATTTTTATTTCAATGTTTAGTTTGTTTTAGTTTAAGTTTTAATTTAAGTTTTAGTTTAATTCACTTTATAGTTTAACTTTTAATTTACTTTTAAGTTTAATTTTTTGTGTATTTTTCCTTTTAAATATTATTTTTTCATTTTAATTTTTAATTTCACTTATTCTTTTCATTTTAAATTTTAATTTTTAGAGGAATGTGACACCGAGAACGGTAAGTCTCCTTCCGATTTCTAAAATATATACCATTAAAAAAAAATTAAATTAAATGTTTTACTCTGTATTTGGCATTTTTTCCTGGAATCATATTCCTTCGGCACCGGCACATTTGGGCAGATACATATAAATATTTATATATTAAAAAACATATATTTATAGATACAGAGCATGAATATTTTTTTCCCATTTCGGCCTCAAAAAGTGAAAATAAAACTAATTGGAAATAAATACAGAAATTGAATAACTCCAGACAGAGCTGAGATTATTTTGTATTTAATTAAATATTTTGTATCTTAATCACTATTTTCTCTCTTTAATAAAGTACAAAATGAATGTAATTATGAGAAATAATTTAAATTTAAAATCTTTTTCTCTTTTTTTATGGGGGAAAAATGCAGAAATAGGTAAGTTTTGCTTTTTTTTTTTTAAATCTTTGATAAATTAATTTTGATAAAGGGAAATTTCACATTTATTAAACCCAACCCTTCTCATTTCTAATTTATTTAAACGCCCAAATATCTCAACATTGAGGCCAAGAATTCAATCGTTCTGGGTTTATTTCTCTATTTTCAGGTGAACTCGCAGCAGAAATTGGTAAGTTTTGATTTTCCTCCCATCAAATTTCAGTTTTTATAACGTTTTTTTACAACGTTTTTGCTGATTTTCCCAGAGTTTATCACCCTTTTATTGTCTTTTTTAAAAAAAAAAATTTAGAACTGTATTTAAAACTAAAATGAAAAATAATGGAAATTAAAGTTAAAAAATTAAAATTAAAAATTAAATTAAAATTGAGATATAACTGCAGAAACCAGGGCATTTGTGGGTTATTTTTAGCCCTAAGGCAAATAATAAAGAGAATAAATTGAAATTTGGAGTCAAAGCCCCACAAGAAAGGACAGAGTTTTGGGGCTGTTGAGCCTTAATCCCTCTCAAAATATTGAAATTCCTTTTTCCAATTCCATTTTGTCCCATTTTTCACTGTAAAAGTCACAAATGGGGACATTTTGTCCAGTTTTAGATGCAAAATATCCTGATTTTTTTGAGCAAGTAAAGGGAAATCGGGTCCAGTTTGTCTCCGGAGGTTCTTGATAAAAAATAAAAATTTAATTTTCTCTATTTTTTTTTAATGTTTAGATAATCTGACGGCAGAGCTGGGTGAGTCATTTCCTTCCTTCCCCCATAATTTCAAATTATAATTTCAATAAAATGAAAATTTGGAGGCGGGGGAGGATGAGGGTGATTTTTTTTGTTTTGTTTTAATTATTTCCTTTTAAAATTGATTTTTGTTTGATTTCTTTTCTTTTTTGTCTCTTTTAGAGGAACGGGAGAGAAAAATCAGTACGTTTTGGTTTTGGAGCCGGTTTGTAAATTCTTTGAGGAATATTTGGGAGGTTTTGGGGTCAGGCCAAGCGGCGAAATTTCGGTTTTTTGGCCACGTGGGGCCTCTTTATCTAAAATATAAAGAAATTTACCTAAAGTTTGCCATAAATTGGCAATACATTTGAAATAAATTTGCCTTAAATGTCATTGATCCTTTCCCTCTTAACGACGGGCTCGTTGGTCTCGTTAACGCCGACGCCCGACCCCGGATCGCGGCAGCGGAGAAATAAAAATCAATTTCAAATTAATCTTCGTTGATTTCTTTTGTTTTCAGGCAAACTCACAGCAGAGTTGGGTAAGAAAATTTTTTCTGTCCTTAAAATTAAAATTTTCCTTCATTATATGAAAGTGCTAAGTATGAAAAAAGATAAAAATGTGATGTTTTGTGGTCTTTTAAGAATGGGTGGCTTTTGGGGGGATTTCTTGCTCAACAAACCAGATTTTTCAATTTTTAAAATTTCCTCCACAAACCTGATTTTTAATTATTTCTCTGTCTTTATTTTTTTCTCTGTATTTATTGGGGTTTTTTAGGCGACTGCGACGCAAAACTCAGTAAGTGTTTCCTCATTGGATGCTCTAACTACTCTAACTATTTAAAAATTAATTTTATTATTTATTCCTAATAACATTTGGTAATAATTTCTGCTTTCCCCCCCCCCCTTTTCTTTTATTTCCAGAGGAACGTGATAGAAAAATCAGTAAGTTTTGTGGGTTTGGGATAAAAAAAGTTTTATTTTGGGGGAGGAGGAGCCCCTCCTTTCAAAGTGACAAATAAAAATACATATTTTAAATTATTTTTTTTTCTCCCGTGTTTCAACCCAAATAAACACAAATATTCATTTTTTTCTCTTTGCAGCCAAACTCGCGGCGGAAATCCGTACGTTGTTTCTTCTTCCTTTTTGAAACAAAAATTATGATTTTAGGCTTAAACCCCCCAAATTTAAAAATTTTGGAGTTGCTTTTTGTCACTTTCCTCGACCTAATCCCGATATTTTTAATTTTTCCCTGAAATTTTTATCTCAAAGGTAGACTCACTGCGCTGCTTGGTAAGTCTGATTTTTCTCCAGGATTATTTTAAATTATGTTTTTTGCATGATTTTATGCACTTTCTATTGAATTTTAACAACAAAAAAAAAACACGATTAAAATTTTTTAATTCAAATTAATTCAAGAAAAATGCGAGAAATTGGTTTTGCAGCAAAAATCCTTGAGCTCGTGGCTCGGGGAGCTCTTGTTCTGGGGGAAGAGGGAGGGGACGTGGGCAAAAAATAACCCCAAACCCCCCCAAATTCTGGATTTTATTCTTTTTCTTTCTTTTACTTCGTTCAGGGGATCGAGACTCGCGGCTCCGTAAGTGGCGTTTCCCTCCTGACGCGTAAAATTGGGCTGGAAGGTGGAGAATTTGACATTTTACAACCCCTCATATCACTCCGAAGTGGATTTATTGCCCAAATCAGTGGGTTTTCTCCTTAATTTTTATTTCAATGTTTAGTTTGTTTTAGTTTAAGTTTTAATTTAAGTTTTAGTTTAATTCACTTTATAGTTTAACTTTTAATTTACTTTTAAGTTTAATTTTTTGTGTATTTTTCCTTTTAAATATTATTTTTTCATTTTAATTTTTAATTTCACTTATTCTTTTCATTTTAAATTTTAATTTTTAGAGGAATGTGACACCGAGAACGGTAAGTCTCCTTCCGATTTCTAAAATATATACCATTAAAAAAAAATTAAATTAAATGTTTTACTCTGTATTTGGCATTTTTTCCTGGAATCATATTCCTTCGGCACCGGCACATTTGGGCAGATACATATAAATATTTATATATTAAAAAACATATATTTATAGATACAGAGCATGAATATTTTTTTCCCATTTCGGCCTCAAAAAGTGAAAATAAAACTAATTGGAAATAAATACAGAAATTGAATAACTCCAGACAGAGCTGAGATTATTTTGTATTTAATTAAATATTTTGTATCTTAATCACTATTTTCTCTCTTTAATAAAGTACAAAATGAATGTAATTATGAGAAATAATTTAAATTTAAAATCTTTTTCTCTTTTTTTATGGGGGAAAAATGCAGAAATAGGTAAGTTTTGCTTTTTTTTTTTTAAATCTTTGATAAATTAATTTTGATAAAGGGAAATTTCACATTTATTAAACCCAACCCTTCTCATTTCTAATTTATTTAAACGCCCAAATATCTCAACATTGAGGCCAAGAATTCAATCGTTCTGGGTTTATTTCTCTATTTTCAGGTGAACTCGCAGCAGAAATTGGTAAGTTTTGATTTTCCTCCCATCAAATTTCAGTTTTTATAACGTTTTTTTACAACGTTTTTGCTGATTTTCCCAGAGTTTATCACCCTTTTATTGTCTTTTTTAAAAAAAAAAATTTAGAACTGTATTTAAAACTAAAATGAAAAATAATGGAAATTAAAGTTAAAAAATTAAAATTAAAAATTAAATTAAAATTGAGATATAACTGCAGAAACCAGGGCATTTGTGGGTTATTTTTAGCCCTAAGGCAAATAATAAAGAGAATAAATTGAAATTTGGAGTCAAAGCCCCACAAGAAAGGACAGAGTTTTGGGGCTGTTGAGCCTTAATCCCTCTCAAAATATTGAAATTCCTTTTTCCAATTCCATTTTGTCCCATTTTTCACTGTAAAAGTCACAAATGGGGACATTTTGTCCAGTTTTAGATGCAAAATATCCTGATTTTTTTGAGCAAGTAAAGGGAAATCGGGTCCAGTTTGTCTCCGGAGGTTCTTGATAAAAAATAAAAATTTAATTTTCTCTATTTTTTTTTAATGTTTAGATAATCTGACGGCAGAGCTGGGTGAGTCATTTCCTTCCTTCCCCCATAATTTCAAATTATAATTTCAATTAAATGAAAATTTGGAGGCGGGGGAGGATGAGGGTGATTTTTTTTGTTTTGTTTTAATTATTTCCTTTTAAAATTGATTTTTGTTTGATTTCTTTTCTTTTTTGTCTCTTTTAGAGGAACGGGAGAGAAAAATCAGTACGTTTTGGTTTTGGAGCCGGTTTGTAAATTCTTTGAGGAATATTTGGGAGGTTTTGGGGTCAGGCCAAGCGGCGAAATTTCGGTTTTTTGGCCACGTGGGGCCTCTTTATCTAAAATATAAAGAAATTTACCTAAAGTTTGCCATAAATTGGCAATACATTTGAAATAAATTTGCCTTAAATGTCATTGATCCTTTCCCTCTTAACGACGGGCTCGTTGGTCTCGTTAACGCCGACGCCCGACCCCGGATCGCGGCAGCGGAGAAATAAAAATCAATTTCAAATTAATCTTCGTTGATTTCTTTTGTTTTCAGGCAAACTCACAGCAGAGTTGGGTAAGAAAATTTTTTCTGTCCTTAAAATTAAAATTTTCCTTCATTATATGAAAGTGCTAAGTATGAAAAAAGATAAAAATGTGATGTTTTGTGGTCTTTTAAGAATGGGTGGCTTTTGGGGGGATTTCTTGCTCAACAAACCAGATTTTTCAATTTTTAAAATTTCCTCCACAAACCTGATTTTTAATTATTTCTCTGTCTTTATTTTTTTCTCTGTATTTATTGGGGTTTTTTAGGCGACTGCGACGCAAAACTCAGTAAGTGTTTCCTCATTGGATGCTCTAACTACTCTAACTATTTAAAAATTAATTTTATTATTTATTCCTAATAACATTTGGTAATAATTTCTGCTTTCCCCCCCCCCCTTTTCTTTTATTTCCAGAGGAACGTGATAGAAAAATCAGTAAGTTTTGTGGGTTTGGGATAAAAAAAGTTTTATTTTGGGGGAGGAGGAGCCCCTCCTTTCAAAGTGACAAATAAAAATACATATTTTAAATTATTTTTTTTTCTCCCGTGTTTCAACCCAAATAAACACAAATATTCATTTTTTTCTCTTTGCAGCCAAACTCGCGGCGGAAATCCGTACGTTGTTTCTTCTTCCTTTTTGAAACAAAAATTATGATTTTAGGCTTAAACCCCCCAAATTTAAAAATTTTGGAGTTGCTTTTTGTCACTTTCCTCGACCTAATCCCGATATTTTTAATTTTTCCCTGAAATTTTTATCTCAAAGGTAGACTCACTGCGCTGCTTGGTAAGTCTGATTTTTCTCCAGGATTATTTTAAATTATGTTTTTTGCATGATTTTATGCACTTTCTATTGAATTTTAACAACAAAAAAAAAACACGATTAAAATTTTTTAATTCAAATTAATTCAAGAAAAATGCGAGAAATTGGTTTTGCAGCAAAAATCCTTGAGCTCGTGGCTCGGGGAGCTCTTGTTCTGGGGGAAGAGGGAGGGGACGTGGGCAAAAAATAACCCCAAACCCCCCCAAATTCTGGATTTTATTCTTTTTCTTTCTTTTACTTCGTTCAGGGGATCGAGACTCGCGGCTCCGTAAGTGGCGTTTCCCTCCTGACGCGTAAAATTGGGCTGGAAGGTGGAGAATTTGACATTTTACAACCCCTCATATCACTCCGAAGTGGATTTATTGCCCAAATCAGTGGGTTTTCTCCCTAGAATAGAGCAGAATATTTTGCCATTATTAAAAAAAGAAATTGCATTTTGCCATTATATTAAAAAAAAAATCCTTTTTCCCGTTACATACAAATATTTTCCCCTTTTTTAGGAAAACTGACTGCAGAACTCAGTAAGTCTTTTTCTTTTTTCCAGTATTTTGGGGGAGAAAAGGGGAACCCAAGAGAGACTGAAAACTGATTTTTTTTCTTTAATTTTTAAATTTTTCTGCTATTTTTTTAGCAAAATGCGACGCCACAATCAGTAAGTGCCGTTTCCTCCTCGTCCACCAGGTTTTAACGAGGTTTCAGCATCAAAATTCTAATTTATATTCTCAAATTAATTTTCTTTTCTGGTTTAAGGAATATTTACGGTGGAGCTTGGTGAGTTCATTTCCTTCCTTTGGCATTTTTTAATTAAATTAGAAACGGTGAGAAATAACACAAATTTCTTTTCTTTACTTCTTTTTAGGGGAGCAGCACACAAAAATCGGTAGGTTTTATGAATTTCTCAGGAGGAAATTGGAGAAATCCCATTGGAAATGGGAGAAAACTGCATTTTTACAGGAAAAAATGTTTAAAATCGCATTAAAATTAATTTTTTTTTTTTTTCAGGTGAACTCACTGCAGACGTGGGTAAGTCGTTTTCCCATTAATTTTGAAATCCAAAATCACAATAAACGCCCCAATAATCACTTCTTTCCCCTCATTTTTAGGCGTTTGCACCAAAAAACTCCGTAAGTTCATTTTTTTTCTATTTCAAAATTGTGAGAATTTTGTCATTGAGAGAAGAGGAACGTCCTAAACTTTTGTGGGTTTTCTGGTTTTTTTCCTTCTCTTTTCAGAGCGATGCGAGGCAGAACTCGGTAAGAAATTTCTTTCTTTTGCTCAAAATTGAAAATTTCAAAATTTTCCAAACTGAGGTTTTTAAGGGGGGGAATTTCTACTTTGATCAAGTTTTGCAATAATTATGAAAAAAAAAGAGATAAATATAATATATATTTTATGTATATAATACGTCTATATATTTTTTAATTATTTATATTATATAGATAAAAAATAAAATTTTGAGCATTTCCAAGCAAAATTAGAGGTAAAAAAACACCCGAATTTTGATTTCTCTTAATTTCTTGATTTTTATTTTTCATTCTCAGAGGAGCGGGAGGTGACGATCCGTAAGTACCCCCCCCCCGAGTGACGTCACAGCTATTTTTAGGGATGATGTCACCGGGAACACGAGGCCGGGACTATGTATAATTTAAATTTTGATATTGAATTTCTTTAAATTTTTATATTGAATTTCTTGTAAATTTTGACATTAAAGTTTCTTATAAAAATCATTTATTCCATTTTGTTTTTTCTCTTTTAGGGGAAAACGAAGCGGAGCTCAGTGAGTGGCATTTTCTGTCCTGGGGGAGGCTCTGGGGGGTCTTTAACCAAATCGGTTTAAAATTCAAAATATAGGGTAAAAAAAGGGGGGGGGGTTTAAGCAGAAATTCCTATCCAAAACCATCCAAAGGAATGGAAAAAACAAAAAGTTTTTAAATTTTTTTTTTAATATATATATTTTTATTTGTAGAATTCAGATTTTATATTTTTAGAATTTTGGTTTCATTTTTATTTTTAGAATTTTGGGGTTTGTTTAATTCTAAGTTGTAAAATCTGAAATCATGGTGTTAAAAACTGCGTTTTTCTTTCCTTTGAGGGCGCCTGAGGGAGCTTCTGGGTAAGTCCTTTCCCTCCCCCTAAATTCAGCCTTTTTTACCCCAAAATTTCACAACGTCATTTATCAAAAGAGAATTTGGCCAAAAACTGGCTTTGGGGGAGGCGTTTTTCCAAATTCAGCAAAAAAATGGCAATAATTTGGAATAATTTCAATTTTTTTTCTCTTTGCAGAGGAGAAGGATTCGGAAATTCGTAAGTTCTGGAGCAAAAATACAAAAAATTTGGACAAAATACAACAGAAATTAAAGGAAATTGTCCTGGAAATCTGATTTTCTTCCCTAAATGTTCAGTCCTGTTCAATGATTTCATTAAATTAATGTAACAATTTTCAGTTTTCAGATATTTTCTCTGAAATTTTAGCATTAAATGAAATATTTGCTGTTGTCTGCTTGAACTCAGTGTCATAAATTGGGGGAAAATGGGGTTTTGTTCATTTCTACTCCTTTTTTTGTTTCTCTCTAGGCAAGAAGGACGCTGTGATTCGTAAGTGTCATTTTCTGAGAAACCAGATGCTTGAGGGGTCACGAGTTTTTTAGTTTAATATTTTTATTCTCATTTCTATTCTAAATTTCTAAATTTCTAAAAAGAAATAATCTGCATTTCACCTTTTTCCTCTTTTTTTTTAGAAGAATTGAAGGAGCGGGAAAGTGGTGAGTGATTTTTTTTTTCCTTTGTTTTTAACAAATTTCAGAAAATTGTACTTCAAATTTTAGAGATAATTTTATTTCTAATAATGTTTCATTAATAATTATTTATGTGTGTATAAATACGTAAAATTCTAATTAAAAATATATATTAAAAAATAAATGCATACATAATTCCATTTCAAAATTCCAAACTAAAAATCTAATTTAATGCTGGGATTGAAACCCAAAATTTAGGAATTTTGATTATTTTTAAAGCCTCTATTTTTTTAGCCCCAAAAGAGCTCGATTCTGGGGCTGAATTAATTGACATTAATTAATTGTCATTTATTAGTGACGCCAAATTAATTCTTCTCATTCCTTTCACAGATGAATCTTCGGAGGAACTGGGTAAATCTTCAGGTTTTTTCCTAATTTTGAATTTGACCCAAAAGAGAAATGTTTTATGCTTAGATTACTAGAAATAAGATTTAATTCTCTTCCAGATTTGAGTTGATAAAATAATAAATATGACTTTTAATTTTAGGAATTCAAAAGGTTAAGAATTCTGGGGTTTTCCCCCTTTCTTTGGAAGAATTTTGGGGTTTTTTCAATTTATTTTTATTCCTTTTCTTTTCTTTGTAAAAATTCTAATTTTTTTTCTCTCTTTTTAATCTTTTCTTCTTTTTTTCCTGATTCCCAGAGGAGACTGACCCAGAGGAGGGTGAGCATCATTTTCCCCTCTGAAAAGGCAGAAAAACCTTTTGATTTGAAGGAATCCTCCTAAATTTCAATTTTTCCTCTTTTAAGACGAACTCAGTGAAGAACTCGGTAAGTCCTTTCAAGTCCAAAATTTCAATTTTTTTTTCCTGTAGAATTCGAGTTATTTCTGGTCTTTTTATCATGAGAAATGAATGACTCAAACATCAGCAAAATTTAATACTGAAAATGTAAAGTTGAAAATTTTAATATTTTTCTTTTAAAATTTGAAATTCTTTTAAAAAGAAACTGAATTTTAGATCCGAGTTCCACATTTCTCCACAATTCAACTGCAAAAGTGGAGGAATTTGGGTGTTTTAATAGAGAAGAAGAAAAACAATAGTAGAGAAGGAGAAAAATATCTAGGAAATAAAGAAATTCTAACAAAAATCTGTGTTTTTCTCTCTCTTAAGATGAAATCACTGAAGATCTGGGTATGAAATTTATTTTTTTTTTTCTTTTTAACCTTTAAAAAAAGCTTTTTTGAAAGTTTTCAGTGTTGGGGTAAAAAGTCCTGTTTCTGGTAAAAAAATCAACAGATACTTTCAAAATCCTTGAAATTTGGGGTTTCTTCCTTGTTTTTAGGGGAGCAGGATAAAAAAATGGGTGAGTTTTCCCATTTCTTGGGGCCCGGATTTTGGGGATGGATTTTTTTCACCCCTCCCCCCCCCAAACACTTCAGCACAAAAATCCTAATTATTTCATTTCTTTTTTTTTTTTCCTTTAAGAGGAAATCACTGAGGAGCTCGGTAAGTCTTTTATTTTTTCCATTCTTTTATTTTCCACGCTGAATTTTAATTTTTCCCCCTTTCATTTTAATTTTTTCTTCTCTTAAATTTGTTTTTTTCCCTTACTTTTTACCCTTTTTTCCCCACCCATTTCCTTTCTTAAATTGCTTTGAATCTTATCTTTTTTTTAATCTCGATTTAGACCAAAAAAAATCATGGCTCTAGTAAAAATAGTAATAATGATGAAAATTATCAAGATTTCGGTGGGGAAATTGTCAAATTTTAATTTATAGTTGATGCAAAACCCTTAAAAATCAAGGGAGACATTGTTAAAATTTTAATTTTTCCTTTTTTTCTCCTTTTTTTCAGCAAAACGGAGCACACAGATCGGTAAGCGCCGTTTTTTCTGCCCGTAATAGGATGGGGGGGGGGGGGGGGGGGTAAAAATGAAAATAATTTTCCTTTCACTTTTTCCAGATGAACTCACGGCAGAGTTGGGTAAGTCCAATTTTAAAAAAAAATAATTCAAATTCTTGCAAATATTTCGTAGTTGCAAAAATTTTTCAGTAGGAACAAGTCACCACCTTCAATTTCCACCCAAGAAATTAATTAGGGGATGAAATAATCTCCATAAAGTTCAAATTGCAACTAAAATTCTCAACACAGAACGGAAAAATCTCCCATTTTATAATCAAGTTAAAAAAAAAAACAGAGAAAATTAAGAATAACATCATTTTTTTTCCTTTTTTTATTTTTCCTTATTTAGGAGAACGTGATGCCAAAATCGGTGCGTGCCCCCCCCTCCCCCCATCAGGACTGTTATTTGAATTCTGAGAAGATTTAAAATCCAAATTTCAAATTTTTTTCTCTTTCCAGAGGAACTTTCTGCAGAAATCGGTGAGTGATTTTTTTTTTTTTTTTGTCCACCGACCACAAAACACAGTTTCTGGTCTGTATTTTGAGGTTATTTTTTATAGAAATGGGGGGAAAAACCCCTCAAATTATCACAATTTTTGATTCTTCTTGATTTTTTTAATTTAGAAAAACGCGATCAAAAAATTGGTGAGTAGCAAAAATTTTAATTTATTCCCCCCTTAATTTTATTTTTTTCTACCCTTAAGTATTTTTTCCACCATTAATTTTATCTTTTTCTACTCTGAATTTTTTTTCCACATTAATTATTTTTTCTACTCTGAATTTTTTCCTTTCCACCTTCAATTTTTGTGACGAAAATGCTCTTTTTTTTTCAGGTGACCTCACAACGGAATTGGGTGAGTTTCCTGGAAAAGGAAAAAATACCCAAATCTGGGCTTTTTCTTCTCAGTTTTAAAGTCACAAAATTGTAACAAATTAAAGTCTCAAAATTGTAACAAAAAAAAGGGAAAAAAATAACCATTTTGATAATTTGTCTTTTCAGAGGAATATAAAGCCAAAATGCGTGAGTTTCCCTTTTAAAAACGGGGAGTGTTTTTTTTTTTTTTTTTTGTCCACCGACCACAAAACACAGTTTCTGGTCTGTATTTTGAGGTTATTTTTTATAGAAATGGGGGGAAAAACCCCTCAAATTATCACAATTTTTGATTCTTCTTGATTTTTTTAATTTAGAAAAACGCGATCAAAAAATTGGTGAGTAGCAAAAATTTTAATTTATTCCCCCCTTAATTTTATTTTTTTCTACCCTTAAGTATTTTTTCCACCATTAATTTTATCTTTTTCTACTCTGAATTTTTTTTCCACATTAATTTCCACATAATTTTTCTACTCTGAATTTTTTCCTTTCCACCTTCAATTTTTGTGACGAAAATGCTCTTTTTTTTTCAGGTGACCTCACAACGGAATTGGGTGAGTTTCCTGGAAAAGGAAAAAATACCCAAATCTGGGCTTTTTCTTCTCAGTTTTAAAGTCACAAAATTGTAACAAATTAAAGTCTCAAAATTGTAACAAAAAAAAGGGAAAAAAATAACCATTTTGATAATTTGTCTTTTCAGAGGAATATAAAGCCAAAATGCGTGAGTTTCCCTTTTCCTCCTTTTCTGGCCCCAAAAAA